TAGGTTTTCAGTGCATGTTAGGGTATGGCACCTGGAGGAGGAATCATGTTATGGCTGACTCAAGACTGCTGGGTTGTTGTATACTAAGGGGGTAGGCTGAGAAAGTCTTTTGCTGGGAATGGTGTTAGGACAATTTAGGTCCATGGAGTTGAAATATATCTTGAAACATACAGTGTTAATATTCCTGGGAAGCACTGGTAAAAGGTGTTAACACATTCCATGTGATTGGCAGTGATGCTACCCCCTCCCCCCAAATAGGAAAGAAAAAAAAAATTGTGTGCTCATTCACTATAAGAAGAGGTACCTGTTTTTGGCATTTTGAAGTCTGCTGTTAGCCTAAAAATGTGGGTCAGATTGTATTTAGAGATCTACTCAATGGGTCAATGCAGAGGAGTTATCTAGTGGGAGTGGCAGAAAGTGCTTAAGGGGGGGGGAATAAATTTGTTTCACATCAATAAAATCCAAACAGTCTTACCAATTTTTATTGAAAATTGGATATTTTGTTAATTTTAGCATTCTACATCTTTGGTATACAATTTGTGGAAATTCTCAGATGCCTCCTCAATAAACTTTTTACAACATACTTCTCTAGTGTACTGCTATTGGCTCACACTGTTGCATACTTTGCAATAAAAAAAATCATCATAAATATTGATAAAATCCAGAGATTGACGTGAGCTTTTTTGAATTTGGTCCTGTTTTTCTTTGGCTTTTTTTATATACTTTATCTGGGAAATTCCACAAATTTTATACCAAAGGTGTAGAATGCTAAAATGAACAAAATACCCAACTGTGTAGAAAATTGTAAAATCGTTTGGATTTTATTGATGTGCAACAAATTAACCCCCCCCCCCCTTCACCCCCCCCCCCCCCCCCTCATTTTTAGCCTGCCACCACCATTTTGAGGGACGGTCCCCTTAAGATTGAAAAGTGTTGTTTCCTGATTGTTAGGAAAGCTTTATTATCGTGGAATATGTAGGAAATGAAAGTCTTTAAAATAAAATTGGGTATTTTTATGGTGAATATGCAGTTCATCATTTTCATATAACATTAGTTACATTATCATACCTCCATTCATAAGTTACTTCTATTAACCAATATCTAAGCAACAAGATTAGAAATGCATTCATAAAAGAAAAAATGTCATGGCAAAGACAAAAGTAATGAAATTAAAATAGGTTAAGATATCACTGTCAAACAGTCATCAGGATCTGAAGTGGGGTAGAAATTTCAGTAGTATAATTAGAAAGAAAAGTTAATAAAAGTGAACAACTTTTCCATATTGTCCAGCTAACTAACCAAATATTTATACTTTGAGGTAACACATTGAGAGACATTGAAGTGGCAGGGATTTGAATTAATCTTGACAATAATAGTGCATAACTAGGGTGCTCTACACTGAGAGGTGTAGGGAAGTAATATGAATGTCTTGCTGCTGTATTGGAATTGAACCTTTCCAAACAGTTCTCAAGTTTTTGGTCAGATGACAGATGGCAGAGGAGTTTGGTAGGTTGAGGCTTAGACTATCTTAGTCAGAGTGCACTAGTCAGAATGGGAGAGTTGTGCTGTGCATCTATATGCAGAACTCCAATCTTACAAAGTTGTCTGAAGTATTTTTTTTCACAGTTTCGTAAATGAAGACCATAGAGACGTGGATCCACAGAAAGAAAAGATTATAATCACTGAATTGTCACTACACAAATTCATAGACAGTTGCTCAGGTGTGAGATCTGATTTCCCAGTGTTGTGGAATATATTACCATAGTCGCCCTCTCAAGATAAAATTAGAAGGGAAGGCTTTGATGCTAGGAAGGCAAATTATTGTTAGAAAAAGACAACAAAAAACAAAGCTTTGGCTGAGACTGACTTAGGCTATAGCTTTAGAACTAATGCTGTTGGAACCATAGAGAGGTGAGGGAAGGGGGGGGGGAGAGGTAGCCAAAGTAGGGAGTGATGGAGGAAAGCTAATAGGGTGGGAAGGAGGAATAGCTGTCCGCAATTTAGTATGGATATTTGTTTTTGTGGGAAAGATTGGCAGCTGATGGTGGGATTGAGCATGATAAGGGGCCAGATATTAATATCAGCTTGCAGTTGTGGCCATGCCCCCAGGAAAGGCTGGCATTAAGGTGGAAGATGTTATATTCACAAATGCAAGCTAATGTCTCTCTCTCTCTCTCTCTCTCTCTCTCTCTCTCTCTCTCTCTCTCTCTCTCTCTCTCTCTCTCTCTCTCTCTCTCTCTCTCTCTCTCTCTCTCTCTCTCTCTCCCCCCCTCCTCGCTTCCCTTCTCCCCCTTTATCTGTAAATGAATTGAGTTGAAAAAGTTTTTTTCTTGGTGGTAATGATTTTTTTTTTTTTTCCCAAAATTTTGTTCAGTAGGAATAACTAATGTGCTATAGCTTTTTATTAATTTTGATATGTTGCACCATGGTCATTATATATAAAGACACAGATATTACAATATAACATACACAGACTCATAGTCATTGTTTCGTAAACAAGTGTATGCATGCATGCATTCACAAATTCAGATGATGACCATGCATGCATGTAAGTAAGCATGAGCACGTGCGCACACAACTTCCATTTGTGGGTAGATGGAAGATTCCTAAAGAGAGATAGACAGAAGAGCAAGAGAGGTGGCATGAGGCACCATGAGGATGGCTCCCCAGCTTATGATGTAAGTAGAGTCAGTGTGCCATGTTTTAAAACTAATGATCAGGCTGTAAGGACTATCCACTTCAGTCAGCAAGGGTAGGCTTTGGGGCCTTTGCAAACAGGAACTATTTTCATGGGCAAGAACACACATCATCACCACTTAAGATTTTTTAATTGTTAAAAAATTCAGGTCCTCAGTCACCCCATTGGCTGTGGGTACAATGTGCTAGATTTTTGTGAATTTTGTTGCACACTTACGAGTCGGTTAACCCAATTCGCTGGGAAAATGTGATGTTCACTGTAGTATTATTTTATGGAATGTATCTACAAGGAGATGGTTCCACAAGTGCACAGCTAAGGAGTTGATTAGTAATCTTTGTGGCCTCACCAGATTTTACGCTTCCTTGAGTTCTTGAATAATTTTTTTTTCTGTAATATTATTTTATATGTTGGTTATTATTATTATTTACATTGTCATTATTACAATAATATTCACAATACTAATAGCAATAAAAAAAAAAAATAATAATAAAGAAAATAAAAATCAATTAAAAAAGTGGACAGGTTGAGATAGGTCAGACTTAGTGATTGATTCATTGGTACCTAAGTACTTGTGTAGACATCTTTGTACATACAATCAATAAACTAAACTCACGTCTGTACATTCCATCCCCTGGCAGCATTGGGTTAACAGACCCTACATGACCTCACCTGTTTGTCCCATTTCTAGAGTTTTAGGGGAGATTTGTCTTTCTTGTGCTATTGATATTGATACTGCTATCATTATTATTGATATTATTATTATTATAGTGAAATGCGTATTGCAATAAGATTTTTAAAAAGTAAGGGTAGGTGAGAGAGGTAGGACTAATTATTAACTCATTGACGAAGTACTTTTAGAGCCATCTATGTGTAAACACACTTAATAACTAAAATTACAGTGGACATGACATGTTTGTCATGCCATCTGAACCCAAGGAATGAAAATGTATTTTTATATTTGAAGATATCACTTTCTGAAGAATGAGACGAGTTAATATCATAAGTAAAAATTGTTTTATGTGTTTGTGACTATGATATTTTGGATGTTGAGAAGTGAAGATGTATAATGCTGACTTTGTGTAAGGTAGGATTAGAAACTTAGGCATTTTTGAACATCAGATCATGATGCTCTTTCTAGTTAACAAGTTCCTTTGTAACACATTCTTGTGTGAGTAAACTTGGATGTCAAAATATATAGTCATGATGGTTTTAATTTTATTTGACTTGATTTTTTTTATATATTTTCTTTTTGTGACTGCTGTTTATTTATTTATGCGTCTTGGTGTAGCTAAGCATAAGTTGGGATGTCTGTAGAAGACGAACTCAAAAAATTGTGGTTTCTTGCAAAGGTCTTCCCAATTTTTAATCTCTCTAGTTTTTGTGTGGTTTTTGATTAGTTTGTTGATGTTTACTGGTATTTCGGATTGGAGTAAAAGTCAATGAGACCAATGAAAATGTAGTGTTTGTACATTTCTATGTGCATGCATTGGTAATTTAACATTTACATGCATGGTATATCTATTGTGATTTAGTTCAATGATTTTATTTAAGTATTGAAGGCTCCACAAGAGCTTAGTCACTAAGAAGTTTATTAGTAGTCCTAAGTATCACACCTGTTTACCTTTTTCTATGATTTTAGGAAGATTATTTTCTGTTTATTGCTATAATTTAGATAATCATAATGTCAATAAAGACAATAACATTATTGCCATTAATAGTACTAAGAAAAAAAAAATCCTGAAAATTCAAGAAATAGGGGAATCTGATGAGTTTTCACAACTAGTAATTGACTTAGCACTTGTTGAGCCATCTGTGTGTAAGCAAAATTCATCTACAGTGGACAGGACATGTACCCGGTAACAAGATCTTAAAAGAAAATGTAGAAACTGTTCTCATCCATGCAATATGTAATGTAATGTAGTGCATTTTATATTTATTCATAACATTTTATTTTCGATTATTAAAAAATATATATATTATTTATTTATGATTTATTTATTTATTTATTTATTTATATTCTCCTGCTAAGGATTTTTATTTAATGCATTTGAAATATATAATTTTTTATATACATTATTATTTTTCTTCTTTTATATTTAATTATGGTATTATTTTATTATTATTATTATTATTTTTTTTTTTTTTTTTTTATTATTATTATTATTATATATATATATATTTTTTATTTTTGCTTGATGCATTTGATCACCTCCTTCAATCTGCATCATTCTTGCTTCTGGTTCTTGAGTATTTTTCAAGTAAGAGAAAGGTTGAGTGAATATGTTTCAGTTTATGACATGGAGCATTGTTTGTATGCATTATTTTTGTTATGGTTGTGTATGTGATGGATGCCCCAACTCTTTTTTATGCTATATGTATTTGGTTTCTTTCTCTTTGATTTGTAATGTTCTTTTTGACTACATTCTCTATCCATTTTTGGTATGCTATTCCACATGTATTTGTTTATTTTATTTTATTATTATTATCATTGTATTATTTTGTTGTTATCATCAGTAGTAGTAGTTATTGATTGTTATTTTTAAAAATGTTTTTTATTTGTACAATGCTGGGAGCATTGTCCAGAATTTATGAGTGATTATAGGGGTATTTCTATGGACAGAGCACTGGAAGAAGACTTTGGACATCTGGTTGACAAAAGGGGTGTGATTCACCCTGTTTACTCCCCAAAATATCTGTGTATATAATAGACTAAAATCATAGTATACATGGCATGTATGTACATACCATCCAAGTGTCATTGGGTTAACCATTGGCTGTGGATACTTGTACTGTTTACTGTATTTTGGGGGAATTTTCTTGCACACAGATGGCTTCACAAGTGCTCAGCCACCAAGGATTCAATTAGTAGGATTTCCCCATTCATTATTATTTTTTCTTTTTCTAATGCTATTAATATCAATTGTTATTATTATTAGTAGTAGTAGTAGTATAATATCAAAATAATAGTAACAATAAAAAATAAAGAAAATATCTCTGAAAACCAAGGGAATGGGTAAACAGGTGAGACAGGTAGGCCAAATAACTCCTTTGCAACAAAGTATTTGTGGAGCCATCTTTGTATGAAGACTAAACTTAAAATTACAATGGACATGGCAAGTGTTTTATGACATCCTCACGCAATAGGTTAAAGGTTCAGGATAA